TAAACCAAATACGTAACGTTCTATTCTGCTATCCATAACAAAGAATCTGACGTTTCTGATCAAGCGATCATACGACGCAGGGGGATGCTTGCACTTTCAATGCTCTTTCAAAGAGGAGAGTTATCAGTTATTCTGTTTTTTTTTATTGATAATATTTAAAATTCTATCTGTTCAAATAAAATCTGAAAAGGATAAATACAAACCACATTGAATAAGTGTCGGCTCATATCCTCATTACCAATGTGATATAAAAATTTGGCAAAATTTATCTCCCTTAAAATTATGACTTCAATGTCGGGACCAAACAGTGAGTTTTTTGTAATCTGTTGAATCAAACCATAACAACGTTCCGACAATTCACGAAACACAATTGTTGTTAAATTCTTAAAGTAAAAGAAAATAGCGAAAGAAAAATTAGTAACAAATCTTTACTGTAAATATAGAATCCCATGCGATATATACGTATATATATATACATATATATATATATAAATTCGCAAAGAGCAGCCAGACCTTGAATAATTGACTTGAAAGAATGGTTGTTCTTCGAGGGTATAAGAGGGATACAAACATACCACGAATTCTATATTGGTTTCTGTCGGACAACGTATATTAAAATCGCATGCTATAAGCGGTAAAATGCGGCTCACTAAATTTTTAACTTGTACGCGACAATATGACTTGCTCTCGCTTATTGATTGTATGTTATTTTGGACCAAGTAATGTAAGATCTGAAGAATATTATCGTCAAACGACTTATAACTCTGTTTACATTCTACGTTTTCAAGCAATTGAACCGATTCCTTCTTTCGAACACTCCTTGGGCCGCGTTTCCAGCAATCACTAAAAATATTTCGCTGAACTTCACCGAGATTGAAAACTTCATTCAAATTCTCTGCTGGTTCTGTGATTGGTAATTTCAAGCAGATGTCTATGATAGCAAACGCGTTTTTTTTAGAAATTTCGTCAGTAGACCTTTCGGTGTTTAAAGTTTTATAGCTTTTCTGGGATTGTCGGGATATTTTTGATCTTGAAGTAAATGACTTTGATATCGTAGGACGTTTCAATTCAATAGCGAATGAACAACTGGTAACTGTAGATACGTAAAGCTTTCTTAATGTTCTACTGTTCGTTAAATTTTTTATTAATAATTCTCCACACTCACCTTTAGGATACATGAAGACTGACAAATCAATAGAACCTTGCAAAAGTATTACATGTGGTGCAGATTGCTTGAAGATTTCTACAGAAATTTCATATTGATCACTGGACAGAATACTTTCGAAAGCAACATGTGTTTTATCTGTTAAAACGAAACGATGAATCGAATTGCAAACGAGAGCAAAGTCCGCTCTCATATCGATGTCTGCAAAGTCAAATTCGGCATTTTCAGTGCACAAGAGGTCGGAAAATATATTATATATGGAGAAGTTGACATCAGAGTATATGCCCAAGCTATCACAATTTTTTAATGTAGGATCTTTTAAGTTTTGCCATTTGTAAAACACGTTTTGTTTGTTAATGGTCTTTTTACTGAAGGCTGTATATTTGCAAATAAATAGGTTCTTATACATCACCTTTTTGGGATCTTTCGACCGCCACGAAAGTGTAGCAACTAAATCGTCGCAAATATCTAGAAGACTATTGGCGACGTTAAATAATGACCCGAAACTAATAAAAATAATATTTGAAAGCTTCACTTCTTTGATTAGCGGCATTAATGAATATACGTCCCACATGATTTGACAGTTGCCGCTGTCCCAAGATGAGCTCAGAGGGTATAAGAATATATTTAAAGAAGCCTGTGCACGTCCCAAGGAAAAATATGGAAGCAAATCTAAATATCCTTGGGCTACTGCGACCCTGGTTAAAGATTTCACGTCTAGCTCCGTAGATCCATTTCCTCTGGTATAAGAGGAGTCCCTTTCGGGAAGCTTATTTTCATAAAGAGTCAATTTCAGAGGTGAGTCACTAAATCTCATAAGCTGGTCGATATCATCCTGCTTGATTGGTAAACTAAACGTTGGTCTTTCCTCAGAAAATGTGTCCAAGCGAATTACGTTATCTGCCTTATGAAAATCTGTTAATTTACTGATGGGGCTAAATTGGTGCTCCAAGGTTATGTCAACTGATCCATGCGGTTCTCTTCGGTAGATTATTTTCGTTGGCTTTAAGTATAGAAAAACTCGAAACGCTTGGTTGGTATAATCCTGGAAATTAAGTATTGAATTAACAAATGGGGAGTAATAATGAACAGTGATGATGATTTACAATTGACAATGACTTCGATAGTCTTGGACATTCTTTTATTGAGTGTGTCCCCTTATAAAATTCCAATTTTTGGTTCATTTCAACGTTTGCGAAATTTTATTTTTATAGTATCCGTGCTTGGCTTATGCCTAATTGAAAATTATAATAAAAATAATGATGACAGATATAGTAAAATATTTATTTATTATCAATACCGAGCTTTTCCTGTTTATAATATATTGATAGCAGGAAAGTAATACTTCGGCATCGATTTAGCATCTTTAGTTTAAATTCGCTTACGTAATAAAAGCAACCAATAAAAACATTGCAGCTGGGCAAAGCCAACTCTCCAAATACACTACACCAATAACAAAAAATATAGTTTGGTGCGAAGTAAAAGCGTACTTTTCTTCGCTTTGAGCCTTTACATGGAACAGTATTCAAAACGTAGACCGACGTGGTACAAATTTAACAAAATTACTTGTCTCATCAAAGAACTTATTATTATTCACCTATTGTCATTATGAATTACTGCAAATTAGACTTTACTGCTAGACAAAGGAGAATATAGCCCTACGTGCTTTAGAACTGGCACACTTAATTTTTGTATTAAAATTATACTATGAACCAATTTTCATCACAAATTATTAAAACAAGAAGCTACCTTCGCGGCATACCTTATATGTGGTGTGTGTGTTATATAAAAAACAAACATACATAATCTAAATTTGGTACAATTTATTTTTATGCCCAATCGCTATTATGGGCCAGTTGTGATCGTATATAAGGGCTTACTTTCCGTAGAAATGGTTACATAGTGTGCTTAAAACGTGACTCCACCCGATCCAAATTTAACTTCGACTTAAATAGCTGAGACAATATAACTCAACGATTTTTGGTGAATCATTTTGAAAATTGCAAGTTTTTTCTATATGAGGACCGTTTCAAACAAATTGTATGCTGAGTGAACGAAAAAAAAAGGTCCCATCCCTGAGCTAAAATATATTAGCGCGTTCTATTGCGACCCGTAGGAAGTGTAAGAAATACGTAGAAAGACATTTGAATATTAGGAGCCAGGCAAATAAATAAATAAATTGCGGATCTACCTTCAACCCTTCTAGATGGCACATATCTCCGCGTAAGCCCAATAGGCCCTGTATCATAAGCGGCTGTAAAACTTTAATTTGAATAAGTATGCATACGGAAGTAGTGTGTACTGAAAAGCAGCTTTGCTTGAACACATATTCTTATCTAAACTACATTTCACGTACTGGCTTCACATACTTCCCGGCAGCGCCTCAATTTTTTGACTTATTGTTATTTTTTCTACATCCGCCTGAGTGGCCAAGTAGGCAAGAGTCTCGACTAGCAATTCAATGGTCGTGGGTTGAAATCTCAAATACGACAGAGTTTTTAATAAAGTCGAAGGCCTTAGATGCTATTGCTTTAAGACTTTAGTCTTAGAATTTATTCTGTGGCTAAACTTGTAATAATGATAATAATAATAACAATGGCGGAAATAAGTATTATACAACTTGGAAAGTTCATGTCAACTTTTTGATAGCTTGCCTGTCGGTTCACAACAATTTATGGATAGAGTTTAAATTGTAGATAGAGCGCAAGTGTACGCGGTAAACTGAAAACAAGAAAAACTTAAGTTGTGAACTCTGAGAACTATCCATCTAACAGCCCTATTCTGAGCAGCATCACTAATACATTATTTACGCCCATATTCTGCGATCGCTGTTAGATGATTAATCTTATGTTTATCTCGAATACTTGTAAAACGGGTTTTGTCAACTTTTAGTACGTTCTTGGCGACTGCAAAAAACATCCAGTGCAACGGTTAAACAGAATATCTTTAAAGACTGAAAAAGAGTACAAATAAAATGGAAGAAAAAAGATTTGCTATGGTTCTTATGCAATTTTTTGGAAAATAAGCAAAGATACGTTTCATTTGTGCTCAACTAATTTATTAGATAATTTGATAGACCGCTGTGGATGTGAAATATTATGTTAAAATTCTTTACTTCATACTCTGCAACACTTATTGTATAAGAATGTACTAAGTTTGTGCGGACGCATGCAACACTGAGAACAACTTGAGATCTTTTTTATTACACTGGTCATTTCGTAATCAGTTTCGGAATTGATTTAACCTTGTCGGATCGTTTGTCTCTCTTATTTTGGCCTGAGAACACAACTTGTTGCAAGTGATTTCAATCGGACGACTTTTCAAACCACTTCAAGCGCCCCCCACCACCACCACTTTAGCCCGAAATTGATATTGGAAAGATTTGTTGCGATTTTTGCTTCGGAATACATTATTTGATACAAAGCGACAGAAACGACGAAACGCTAATTAACATTATGAGCGTTTCAACGACGGAAATGCAACGGCTCTCAGAATGGATACATATATTTAAAAAACTATGTAAAGATTGTTCTGACAGACCATTTAGCGCGTAAAATGAGTTGTTAGAATATGAAAACGCTGTCTTGTAGTATCTGTGTGTCCGAGGTACTTTGCGCAGTTTTTATGTTTATTTTGTTTTACATTTACGCATTTACGTCTCATTTTCAGAAGAATAGTTGAAATTGTTCTTAATTTTTTTCAGATTTTAATGTAAGATGAAGCCTTTTGAAGTGTTCAAAGTAAAAACAATTAAGTTTCTACGATTTACTTAGTTTTTCCCTTTAAAAGACAAAATGCACTTTTTACTATTTGCTCGGTTCTCACTTTTAATTTGTTATGAAAAATGCGGTTCCTTAGTGTCTATGTATAATGATATATCTTCTATGTCCACGTTAGCCAATTCGTTTAATATTTCTTCGTGAATAAGGACATCCGGCTCCTAAAACATGAAAAATTAAGCGAAAAGTTAAAAATCAAAGAAAGTACATTGGATGCAGTTTACCAAGTGGGCATATTCCCAACACAGCAGCGCCTTATAATTTTCTCCTAATCTTAAATTTATCAAAGCGAGGTAAGCCCAGGTGTTAGGTAAATAGATTGTAAAGCGAGTGGCTTCAGCAAAATATAGTTCGGCTTCTTCCAAATGATTTAACTACGGATTCCGAAAAATAAAAATTAAAAAAAAAAACAAAAAGATTGCATGCTGCTTAGCCTACGCTTACAAAATATAAGGCTTTAGCTTTGCCTATATTCGCAATTAATTCATCAGCATCGCTTGTGCTTGCAAATTGAAAGGCTTCCAAGGCTTCATCAAATTCTTTCTCTTCTAACATACGATAGGCGTAACGTAGTATACCTAACTGAAATCTGGAATCCCTCCTTGCATTCTTGATATCGAGAATGGCGCCATAATGACTCATAGCAGCTGAACCATTGGGCTGACGATAATATTCAATATTGCCATTGACAAGACACATAAACGCTTTCTAAGCGAATAAGAGATAAACGGTAATTGTTAGATACTAACTGTACTTAACAAGTTTACCAGTTCGTCTGATGATTTTGCTGCGGATGAAAAGCTTCGTGTTATGAATTTTGATTTAATAAGATTCACGGCCAATTTAAAACTTGTATTCAGAATATATCTTTCAACTTCCTCCAGCTCATCGGCAATTTCTTCAAATAATAACCATGCAAAATGATATAGACCCAATTGTAGAAGGGCTTCACACGCTTTCCAAAAATACGTTTGTCTTTCCGTTCCTAATTTTGGTTGAAAGTTATTAAATATTTGCCAACGACTTTTCGGTATGTATTCAATTTTAAAAAATAAGTTTTCCATGACATTTTCATATTTCCAACGAGCATAGCTCATGCCTGGTCGATAATCATGCTTCTTATAGATACAATATAAAATCATCCAACCAATTGGAATTTTTGGTTGCACTTCTTCACAGTAATGGGTTAAAGCATTTAATAGATTCTCTGCTGCGTTATTTTCGCCATCCACGCTATTTATATCTTCCATATAATCCAAATAAATTTCGCAAAGGTTTCTAATTTATTTTGAATTATTTTTTTTGAAAAATGTAACGAGCATTAAACGCAAAACTTACGTGACGGATATGCCGCCATCCTCGTACCTCTCCTGCCAAGGTCTGTTTAGATATTGTCTCGCCAACTCAAAATTTTCCATTTCGACATTATAGAGAAATACATAAAATCGATATAACGCGTAACGATTGTACTTCTTGTCCAGCTGAAAATTAGGCAATTACAAAAATCGGACATTTTTGTTATGTCGTAAGACTCGCAAAGCAACTCTCACGCGAAAACGAAAATTACAATCCGTTTTAGCGACCTTTTTTAGCTACCCATTCTATTCGCTACGCTGATATTATTAAAAAAATTGTCAAATCCCTAGTTCAGAAGTATTATTATATTTTTCACATTCAGGCGAATTTCGTTTAATACCAAGTGCATTTAAAATCCTGATTTAGAATATGCATAAACGGTACACTTTCGATTCGGAAGGGCACTCCCACTTGGTCATAGCGTAATCGAAGCACAAATTCGTTTTTCTTAAGTGTGAAAACGAGATTTTCAGAAGACCTTACAGATGTCCCTCGCGCACCCTATCGGGTTGATATTTCTCACTAAACTTGCAGGCAACCATTTCAACAGTGCCTACAAGTAGTCAAGATTAAGAATCCGCTTTGCTCAAAATTCTGTATTCTAGTCTAGCCGTCATTATGTAACAGATAAATGGGAGAACCGTGAAAAATTGTTCATAAAATATCGGACCTAGTGGCGCCATTTGTTAAGGCTATCTATAATTACTTATCACATATATTAACGCAAAGTTTATAAACAATTTCCTTATAATTAATATTAAATACAAACCATATCGAATAAGTATTGACTCATTTCCTTATTACCCATGTGGTATAATAATTTAGCAAAATCCATTTCTCGTATGAGGAGGCTTTGCATATCGTTGCCAGCAATAGTGTCTCGAAACAATAAATCTTTCAGAGCCTCTTGAACCAGACCGGAACAACGCTTCGTCAATTCGCGAAACACGATTGTCATTAAATCCTGAAAGAAAAAGTAAAACAAGTGAAGGATGTACACAGTTTCGTTATCCAAAACGACAAGAAAAAAGCGAAATTTTGTTTTTAATTTAGAAGATATCAGTACAACTTTTCAGTAAACTCTTACAATTTTATGATAATAATAAGTTATTTAATAAGAAAGCATACGTACCACAAACTCTGCGTTTGTCTTCGTCGGATAACGTACATTAAAATCGCACGCTATAAGCGGCAAGATGCGATTAACAATGTTTGTGATCTGCGTACAAAAGAATGATTTGTTGTTGTTGTCGGGCCTTGACAACGTGTTATTTTCAGCCATGTGACGTATTAGCCTTAGTATCTGGTCATCGAATGATTTATATTTCTCTTCGCATGTCCTCTCTTCAGACAAAGAAACTGTTTTTTTCTTGACCTCACGTTTCCAACAATCTTTAAAAATATCACATTGCACTTTATAATTGTTATAGGTCTCATTTAAATCCTCTGCTGGCTCTGTAATTGGTAATTTCGTGCAAACACTTATAACAGTAAATGTTGTTTTCTTAACTATGCCATCTAAATAGTTTTCGCTGTAAACACTTTTTTGATTTCCCCAAGATTTCGAATATCTTGACATAGTCAAAGATGCTCTCATCGGTGGTTTCAATTCAACAGCGAATGAGCAATTGATGACTGTAAGGATGATGAAAAATTGTATTAACATTTATGCTGAATCTTATATTAAAACGTTTGTAATCACTCTTACCTCCAGGATACATAAATATGGATAAATCAATAAAGCCTTGCAAAAGTATTGCCTCTGGGTCCGATTCTTTGTAGATTTCTACAATTATTTCGTATTTGTCACAGGCCAGATGTTTTTCCAGATCAATATGCCATTTGTCTGTCAAAATGAAACGATGCGTCGAATTGCAAACAAGAGCATAATCTTGGTCTATGTCGATGCCTTCGAAGTTGAAATCAACATTCTCGGTGCGTAATAGATTTGTAAATAAATTACCTATCGAGAACTTTATGCCGGAATAAATGCCCAAGCTTGCGTAATTTTCAATCTCAGGATCTTTTAATTTTTCCCACTTATAAAATGTGTTTTGTTCACTAATAATTTGTTTAGTAAAGACTGTATATTTACAAATAAATATTTTTTCATATGTTCCCCTTTCGTTAAGATCTCTTGACTGAAACGAAAGCTTAGCTACCAAGTCGTCGCAATTGTCCAAAATGCTATCCTCGATATTAAATAATGATGTAAGCCCAATGAAGATGACGTTTGAAAGCCTAACTTCTCGCATGATTGGCATTAATGTGTATATTTTCCAAGTTATTTTACAACTATCGCTAGCCCAGGAAACATCCAAAGGGTATAAGAATGTCTCTACAGATGTATGCGAACGTTTTTTTTCAAAAAATTCAATCAAATCTACGTGACCGTAGGCCGTAGCTTTTTTAACAGGTACTTTTTCCTTTGTATCAGCAAAATCAACTTCGTTAGGATCTGATAGCACATTTTCGTAAAGAATCAATTTCATAGGTGATTCAGTGAATTTTTCAATGTCGGCCAAATCATCCTGTTTAATAGTTAACGTAAACGTTGGTTTTTCCTCCCAAAATGTATCCATATGAATTTCATTATCTTCCTTATAAAAATCTGTTAACTTCGTGAGAGTGTTAATTTCGTGCTCCAAAGATATGCTAACTGATATACTTTTCGCTCTTTCATATTTTATATTCTGTGGTTGTATGTATAGGAAAACACGGGCAGGTTTTGGAGGAAAAACCTGAACATATATTATGTATTAAATTAAAACCGATGTTATAAGCTGGTCACAACGTAGCAAAGATGAAAATACCTTCACAACTTGCAAGGGCTCCGACAATTGCGCCAAGCTTTTCAGCCGCCTGCTTTGCTTCTTCGTTACCCTTGACTTCCGGTCCGCAATTAGCAAATGAAACTCGTAATCCCCTTTCGGAACTTCCATTGTTTTCGTTGTAAGGTAAATTTTTAGTGAATTTGTCCTAAATGAATAATAATAATAATTAACATAAAAAAAAATAGTACAAAAGTGTTAAATATATAAAAATATTAAAAAAGCAAAAATTCTATCGTATATTTTATGCTCCTGCTTCTTAAAGAGCCAGGGATAAATTTATTTTTCTTCTTCTTCTTCTTCTAAAGCAATCAATTAATCAAAAACAAGTGGAAACGTTATAATCGAGCTAGGTCGACTATTAAATACCCCAAATCAAATTATCTAATACAATTTTTATTTTTGCTATTGAACAAAAAAATTATACCCTGTTTTTGTAGGAATATTCTAGTATAGAACTGTGTATTAAAAATTAGAACTCTTTGCAAATGGAGTCTTGGCTTCCGTTGGAATGGTTGTGCCCAAGGGGTTAAAAGATGGAGGCAGGTTTTACTTTATGGGTTAATTTCTATTACAACATATTAAAAATTAGGTTTTTCCGCCCTATGAAGGGTCAATTTTCTTGAAATTCTTACATTCGGTGGGATGTAAAAACAGGTCGAGATGAGAGTTAATTTTTTTCATGTTAAGTTACTGTTATGATGTAATTTTCTTCATGAAGCATTGAAAATTATATCTTTTTGTCGTCTGAATTTCAGTTTTCGTTTTATGAGAGGGCGTTTAAAAATTGCCCTAGCCGATCCAAAGTTTCCATACCACTTTAGAAGGCCCAAATACTACTACTTTTGCTGGGAAATTTTGAAAACCGCATTTTTTATCCGCATAAAGACTTTTCAGAATAGGGCGTTACATGGGGAGTGGTTGAAAAAGTGAACTGTGTCGAACCATTTTCAATAGCGTTCGTGCTTGGCTGAAAACACGTCCCTGCACGAGATGTTATCAAAATATGTTAAAAATTTGCGACCAGCAACTGGATCAAAAATTTAAATGGACAACAGGCGGGCAGACAGGCTCAGATCAATTCAGATTATGATTCTGAATCGATTGGCATACCAAAAGGTCGGCATATCTTAACCCGTTTTGTCTATTGCCATAAGTTAATATACCCTGTACCACAAATGGTGTAGTGTACAAAAGTAATGATTTTTAAAAGAAATTCTGAGATCTTTCACGAAGAGATTAGAACTTATTCGTAATGTCCCTATTGAGTATGATGTAAATGAGATTATTAAAAACGCGGCCTTCAATATGCAAATTAAGTCTGTTGTTAGGCTTCGTAGAAAGTATCATGGCAACATGCATGATTTTATTTCCACAACGAGTATTAAAATTGGTTTCAAAGAGAAAGCCTTCTCTAAGCCGATTAAGTTTAATTTTTGGAACCCCGGTATTCCCTACTTTGTATCCACCTTAAAACAATGTTTTAAGTGTGGTAGGTATGAGCACGTTTCTAAGTTTTGCAAATCCAAGGAGCGCATGTGCGTTAATTGTGTAAAGCCTTCTAAGTTTACCGAAAATTGTGCAACGCTCGAACAGAGAACGGGAGTTAACGCTTAACAAGATTAGGACTATTAAAAACTTTTCCTACGAAGAAGTGAAAGAGAAAATTTCTTCAAATTACACTCAATGTCTAGATGATAATTCCTACGATGAGAACTTGCCTTCATTGGGGAACCTGCCATTTTGGTCACGAATAATAATGACAATCGTAATGAGATTCTAATAAAGAAACAATTTAATGCGGTCGTTAAACACGAAAGTCTTCTATTTCCTACCCTCAAGTCTCCAGTTCAGCCCCAAAGTCGTCCATAACCAGATCTCAGCAAATGATTTCGAGCAACAATCTGCGTTCTTCGGAACTTGATAGATAAATCTCTGCGATCTGTCCACGATCCCTTAGAATCTCGTTAAGGAATTTGAAGAAAAAATTACTTATTGTGCTAATTCTCGCTCTCGATCAAGTGCTTACTACTACGAGTAAATCCTCTGGGATTCCGCTTTCTTTTAAAATATGATCCCTTTTTTACACTACGATATGCAAAGTGTACCTTATCATTTTTGGATTTTTACTTGAGCTCGAATAATATTAATTTTTGCATCTTAAGTGAAGTTCTTCTGAAAGATGACAGTTTTTTTTAAGTTAAAGTTTCCAACTATACTTCAGCTACCAAACGCCGAGATGATGGCTATGGTGACGTTGTTCTGTTTGACTTGTAAACAATTTCATATGTTTTCCTTTCAATTCCTGACGTTTGTGTCTATACTAGTTAAGAAAGACGTTTCAAACGTATTCCCTGCAATTCGGCCGTTGACGTTGTTATCATCAAAACCATGAATCTTAAACTGAATCTTTTCATAGCATCATGCTGCTTTCAAACCAGTGTTGATATACAAGCTTTTCATGCTGCGATTCAGAGATTATGTGACTTTCTCGATGGTGAACAAAATGTGATTCTAGCCTAAGATTTCAATGCTAGACATTTCTCGTATGGCGATTAGCTCTCGACCAACAACGGTAAGATCCTTGCATATGCCATCAGCCTTAATGTTTTAAATAATGGTAATACTACCTTTCACTGTAATTGGAATGGTCGCATTGCGAGCAAAGTCGTGGACCTAAGTTTTTCTAATTCAACTCATTCATCATTCAGCTGAAATACGACCAATGCCTCAATTGACAAAAGTCAAAAGTCACACCTGCACCAATTCCCTTGAAAAAAAGCAAAATTTTATTGCGCGTAAATTCCTTATAGACCGCTCGCCTAAAGTTGATCTTCCTTTCGATTTATCATCAATTCAAAGTGCTTTTCAGGCTGGGATCAAGTCTGCTAGAACCAACTTTTCTGATATTGAGTTCTAACCTTGGTGGAGTTTTTCCCTGTCAATGATCTTTCGCTAATTTCATGCTGCAAGGAGAAAAAAAAATGAGTTAATATGCCGATCCAACCAACTTCATTGAATATATGAAAGCACTGACGAAATGGAGGTCTGCAGTTAAAAAGACGAAAAGGACAAATAGAGCTATCACGATTAAAGAGTTATGTGGCAATGGCAACCCGATTTTTTTCTGGAATTACATCAGGTCATCGATATTTTAGACAAAAATTAGATGGTTGTGCTCTGTGGAATGACTATGATAGTAAAGGATACTTAGATATTTACAGGAGTTATATTGCAAGTGTCAATCAGATTACAATTCCTTTTATAACAATGCATTCTTCTCATTACGTGAGCTAATGTATGTTGTACATTCTAAATAGGGAGCTAGCGCTGCAGGCTGTGATGGAGTTAAGTATGAGATGGTCAGAGCACTGTCTGGAGGAAGCTTAACTCTCCCGTTGTTTGCAGTTAATAACTGCTGGTTTATTAACTTTACACCCTTAGATTTGCGATGTACCAAATCTATTCCAGCTCCTAACGCAGGTGACGACTTAAATTATTTAAACAACTTCAGACACATTTCGCCAATATCTGTATTCATAAACATTATTAACCTCATGGTTAAGCAGAGACTATTGGATTTCTTGAAAACTGCGAACGTTATTCCAGCTCGTTCTTGTGCGTATCAAATCTACGCATATGTGCGTTAATGAACAATCTTTTCTCATAGCTAGTTTAAACACAGCCGGTAATGTGGTTGTTATGCATCAGCAAAGCACATGACTGTGTCAACTTGATTAAGCAAAGTAGAATTCTCTTAAACTTGTCAATTCCTCTTCATATATGTCTGTGGATACTACAGTTTCTATTCGAGCCTGTGTTGGTAGTGGACACAGGCAAAGTTGAAGTGTACGGTGGTATTTCACAAGGCAGTTGCTTGATATGCAGACGGTTTCTTAGTTGTATCCGCGGATTTATCCTTTTCAGTGGGAGTGAATAACCTCTGGATAAAAGCTAATCTTTCCTTCGGTGCATGTGTTGGTCTTAATTTATATTTTAACCCTAGCAAAACAGATACTATTTATTTTGCGAAAAGTTCTAAACGTGAAATTAGGCTCTTTATGAAAGAAACTAAAGTTAATCAGGTATAATCTCTTCGATTTCTTGGTAGCCTAACTCTTCGTGGGCATTATGAAAAAGCCTTCAAAGACTGTCAAGCTGGATGCAATATCATCAAAAACACCTTCTTTTTTATTACAGCAACGGATATTATATATATGCCACTGACGGTTCCGTTGGACATAATGCATTTAGCTTCTCGGTAATAAAGCATCTGCTTAAAATAGTACATAAAGTCAAAGTCGCGGAGAAATTTTGCTCGTCTCTTGTTGCAATGTGTACAAAGTGTATCACGAAATTCCATTTCAATCTTTGGGCATTGACGGATGACCGACATGTAGTCGCTATGTTGATGGCTTTACAATGTCGATGCAGCGCATTCCGTCTTCATTCCGTTTAATGTTTTACTCGACTTGCACTGCGTCAATGCAGTAATGCACGACACAAATGTATCTATCCTGTTCAGCGATTCATTTCGTTTCATTTTTGTCCGCGCTCCTCTTTTTTTTTTTGAATATAGTTTTCAGAGATTATTATCTATGTTGCCCCTTTTATAAACAACAGAAAGAAAAGAACTGTGATTATCGGTTTACCCTGATCCTTACAAGCGAAGGCTATATCGCACGACACTAGACAACAATCGGACGTCCTATAAGGACACTTCGCATGCTTCAGTTTAGTTTTTTCAGCATTTCACTCACGCTTTCTGGCATCTAATTGATGAAAAAGGCGTGATTACTTGTCATATACCCAATTAGTATTATGTAATATCCAATTAATACATTAATAACGCTAACAACATACCAACAACTTAGACTATAATTTTTATCAACCGATTTCAGCCCATCACTTGTTCAAAGGTAAACAATTCATTAATAGTAGATTGTGCAGCTCGTTTATTTCTTTATATTAATATTAATATCGCTATTCGATTAGTTTCATATTTCCATAAAAAGAATAATTTTGTTTATTATTCTAATAAATATAAAGTGATTATGTAAATGTGTTTCTAGGTTAAGGCGACGCGTATAAAAATATATTTTTCGGATTAATCTTATCCAGCTCCTCTAAAATATCTTCACTAACATCGATATTGGGGTCCTATCGCAAAAAAGAAATTAAAAGACAATTAACTATTGCTATATGACAGAATTGTTGTTAATAAAAATATTTGTTACCAATCGAGCATATTTCCAACATTCTAACGCTTCATAATTTTTACCCAATCTCAAATTGATCAAAGCAAGATTGGCCCACACAGACGGATAATAAATATTGTAAGTAGTACTTAAAGCGAATTGTTGTTCAGCTTCTCTTAAACGGTCCAGCTATTGAACATGAATTGCACATAAAATCACAGCAACGAATATTTTAACACTAAAGTTACGCTTACATGATAGAAAGCTTTAGCTTTGCCTATGCATCTAACGATTTCAGGAATATCGTCAGCAAAATCGAATGCATATATCGCAGTTTCAAATTCTTTTTCTCGTAACATATAACAAGCGTAGCGCAATATTCCCAAATGAAACGGGGAAATGTCTTCTAATCGCCCGACATTGAAAATAGATGCGTAATTATGTACCCAAGACAAATTGTTGGGACTCCGTAAATATTCTATATTGCCATTGACCAGATCAACGAAAGCACGCTAAATGAAAGTTAAATTTATTCAAATAAAATTTTGAAAGAAAACGTTATTAACATACCAAGTCGGCTGCATTAATAGGACTGTCCACTTGCATAGTTTCCACGATACGGAAATCCTCTACCTGATTAGTAGCCAATTTGAAACTTGCATCGAGAATATACCTTTCAATTTTTGGCAATTGTTCAGCAATGTCCTCATACATCCATTGGGCAAATATATATAAACCTAGTTTTAATAAGAAAGTAATTGCTTTCCAAAAATATTTTGCTTTCTCAGTTCGTAGTGTCGGTTCAAAGTGATTAAAAATTTCCCACCGGGATGTCGGCAGGCTGTTTATTTCGATAAATGGCACGTTTATACGATTTTCGTAGTGCCAGCGAGCATAATCCATACCCGGACGATAATTATGTTTTTTATATACACAGTACAGAAGCATCCAGCCTACGGGAGATTTGGGATGTGCCATTTCGCAAAAATGCATTAAACCGATTAACAGGGTTTCCTCAATGTCACCTTCAAAGCTCGTATCAATTGTGTTCTTTATATAATTCAAATATAGTTCACAAATATCTCTAAAATTATTTGAACTAAGTTATTTGAAAAGTTTTTGCCAACATTAAATTTACATAATTAGCTCCAGATTTTCATCATATACAGAGATTTTTAAATACTCTTCTGCCGCATCATAATTCTTTAATTCTAAATCATATATGAATTTGTAAAATAAATACATGTCATTATTGCCCCATGTTTGTTCCAACTGAAAGGGAAAATGCACATTAAGATATTATTCGAAATCAGATCAAAATTATCCATTTAGACCTTTTCTGTTAAATATTGATTCATTTCATCATTTTCGACTTCGTACAAGAGTCTTGTGATATTTATCTGCGTTAGAGATATGGGTTCGATGTTATAACGTGCCTCTCGTTTGATTAAACGGTAGCAACGCTCCGATAATTCGTGGAAAACCTTCGTCATCAAGTTCTTTAAAATAAGGAGGGAAAATTACATCAAATTTTATATTAATTACATAATTAATTATAAAATTATATATGTTAGACGTTCAAAGGAAATCAAAGGAGAAGTAAAAGCACTACGTTCATTAAAAGCGTGTCAGTTGGCTTATTACCAAAGACTTACAATATTATATCGATTACCTGAGTATGAGGGATATATTTATTTTGTCAAAACGTTTGCACCTTGAAAGCTCTTTAGACCCTATAAAGCATATGTATAACCCATTGTCCGTATACCCGTGTGTCTGTCCGTCTGTCTAAGGTAGGCATTGTCTTGGTCGCAATAATGAAGCAGTAACCTTCAAATCCGGAAGAGATGTTGAAAGTTCTTACACATACGTTGGTATTGGAAATAGGACAATTTGGGGACAAAGGACACGACCGCAGTACAATATAACCGAGGCCTCTGTTTTCAAAAATAGAACCAATTGTATCACTTATGAACTACAACAGATTTAAAGACAAAAGTATGAAAATGCAAAATATCGACGGCGATTACACAAAGCTATAAGCGGTCAAATTTTAATTTTTTTCACATTTTTGATGTTTTCTGCTTACTTCTCATAAGGTAAATAAGGTAGAATGTTGAAAATTTGTCCGTACATTTCTCACATGAAGATATATTAATATGAAGATATAAATATATCTTAGTTCTAATATAAATGCGGTGGATGCACATCACAATTTGGTGGATTCGTTTTTCCAATCGATTCAGTATTAAACAAACGAACTTGGAGAGTAGAATGCGACAAGTGAAGTGTGTTAGATCTAACTTAGATATCGCGGACCACACGATGTGTTTGATTAATTTTATCTCCGCAATCCCGGCGATGTGAGCATCAAATAAAGGAGCTTGGAGGATAGGTAAGATAGCAGATTCGATCGAGGACGAATATAATTGGACAGAAACACATTGGAAAATTGTGACTTTTCAACTTTCTAACGATCTAATTTTACGGCGATGAACGATCACAGCGTCAAGGTACCAGAAAGAAATTTGGTGAATCATCTACCTAGGAAATAATGGGTCTAAAATTTGAGGCACAGATGCGTTGTAAACGATCATGAACAACTTCGTTTCTTTGAGGCACATGGTGGTATGAGTCGTTAGAAAAACGCGCTGTACACATTAGGCTTAATATTCGAATAGAAGGATCAATCGGCAAAAAGTATAGAGAGTAGCCAGGTTTTTCCTTTAGTTTTCCATTTGCATCAACCTATTATCCGTCAATGTTCAAAAATTCAGCACTTCCGAAAACCTGAATCTGCAAGTCAACTTCTACGTAGCTCCACGATAGTTTCACCATATTTTAATTTTTTTTTTTAAACAAGTTTTCAAAAAAAATTTAACCGCGCATTTCGAGGATCTTCAGATACAGTTCTTAAACCTACAATTTTGATTCAAACATTGGAATTTCAGGAAAATTTCCAAAATGTTTCCTTTGTTTTGAAAATAACAAACGCAGCGTCACTTTGGCTAATGCAAATCGTAAACAAGTAATCGAAATGATCTGAGATTTTGATGGATTACGTTTGAGAATTGGACATTCTGAGGCTAATAAAGTGGATACATTGTTACAGACTAGATGCGGTTTGTTAGCCTCGGGAATTATTGACCGATGTGCAAAAAAAAGTAGAAAATATTTACTTAAAATATTATATTTAAGAATATATGAAGCGCTAAAAGCAATCACTTGATGCAGTTTAGGGGGGTGCGAGCGAACAGCTGCGTGCGACTACATAAATAGCTTTAGTTAATATAAGAAAACACGATTATGAACGACTCGATTTCTTTTATGCCCTGCGTGTCATATCAAAGAGACCGCAGTCTCTGATTCGCTGAATATGTAAAGAAAAATGTTCATGTTGTAAGTTAATGTACATACCATAAATTCCATGTTAGTGTTAGTTGGTTGACGTACATTAAAATCGCATGATATAAGAGGTAAAATGCGATCAGCCATGTCTCCGACTTGCTCGCGGTATAAATGTTTGTCGCCATTTATTGAGCATATATTATGTATTCTGATGAACTTTATTAGCTCTAAGACTGCATCATCAAATGACTTATAGCTATATGCGTATTGTTTCTCTGCGCTCGTTGAACAACGTGGTTTACATGGCTTTTTTAGCCAACAATTTTTAAATATGTCGCGTTTCATCGCGATGACGTTGTAAACATCAAGCAAATCCTCAGCCGGCTCTGTGATCGGTGCTTTTAAGCAGATTTTAATAAGTGCAAATGTCGTTTTCTCTTGTACTTCAGGCACGATTTCCTGCTTTTGTTCACGAACGTTAAGAGTTTTTGAAGTTTTCGCTTCAGCGGTAGGAGGAGTTACTGGAGATGGTGATTTCATTGCAACAGCGAATGAGCAATTAGTAATGTGAATGTAAAAAATTATTATCTATTTTAATTTCTCATTCTTAATTTTTCTTTTCAGCTAAGTTTACCTTCGGGATATAAAAATATTGAAGGATCGATGAAACCTTGCAAGAGTATTTCTCTCGGCCGATTTTCATTAATCATTTCTATAATAATTTTATACTTATCGCAGACTAGGGCTTTTTCTAAGGCAACGTGCATACGGTTCGTTAAAATGAAGCGATGTATTGAATTGCAAACGAGGGCATAATCCTTGTCCATATCAATGCTGTCGAGGTCGAAATTGACACCTTCGGTGCGCAAAATGTTATCAAATAATTGATGTAAATTTAAAGTTAAAGCTGAAGCTACGCCCATACTCTGGTCTTTTTTGAAATTAGAATTCTTTAGACTTTCCCACGTGTAGTACAAATTCTGGTCGCTGATAATAGTTTTAGTGAATACAGTGTATTTACATATAAATTCTTTTTCGTATTCGTTCTTTGCATTGGGAACTTTTGATTGCCACGAAAATTTGGCAACTAAATTATCGCAGTTATCTAAAAGATCGGCCTCGACGTTAAACAATGATTTGAACGATAAATAGATTATATTTGAGAACTGAACATCCTTGATGAGAGGCATTAACGAGTATACGTCCAAGGTTATTTTATATGTTCTACTATAATCGGATGGGTCTAAAGGATATAAAAACACGTCAATAGAAGAATTGCAACGTTTTTTTGTAAAGAATTGCAGCATATCCAAATGTCCTTGAGCCACCAACTGTCCCTGTAATGTTCTGTTTTGGCCGCTTTCCTCCAAACTTTCTTCCTCCATACCGTCTTCAGAGCAATATTCATAAGCGGTTAATACAATTGGCGTATCGCCGAACGATATAATATCTTCAATGCAATCCTGCTTGATGGTCATGCTGAATGTTGGTCTTTCGGATGCAAATGTATTCTTCCGAATTACCAGATCCAATGCAAAACAATCAGATAGCTTGGAGATGGCATTACTGGCATGCTCTAAAAGTATATCTACCGATACGTCATCTTCGTTCGGGTACGATATATTTTTCGGCTGTAAATATAAGAAGACTGGTCGATTGCATTCTGCATTTGCTAATGGTTTGCTTGGTTGTCCGTTTTTATCAAACGCCTTAAGAAAATAGAAATGAATACGTTAATGGACGAAATAAAAATAAATTGATTTAAGAAAGCGTATAATGACCAGTTTGATTGGTTTCGGAGATTTTGCGGTGTTTCTACGTGTTGAACGTCCCTGGGCTTGCAGGGGCTTTAAGTTGTAAGAACCGACGGTTCCTTTGGTAATACCTATTTTATCCATAAATAAATTTATTTTCACGCGTTCCCTTACAAATATGCGTCGTCGTATCCCTTTCCCCTATATTTTGTTTAGTCAATTAATTGGGGCACTGTCAATATGAAAAACATAAAATTGATGAAAGTCATTAGACATTTGAGAGAGAAAACATTTTTCGATATTTTTATTGCCCGCATATTAGAGTCAACTTAGTTTTGAAATACCTTACACACTCAAGCAATTCGTGAGAGATGGCGCATGTGGAGACTTAAGTAGATGATAGAATCTTGAGATTAAACTGAAATTAAAAAAATGCCATTTAAGCTTTTATAAAAGCGTGTACACATCAAGCCCATAGATATAATTGCAGGTGATATGAATTGATGGAAACATCCACAACTTTCGCAAATATATAAAATAAATAATATATCAGAAAATTGCAAATTAATTGAAGTATGACGTCACCATCTCTCACCTCTCCACAATGCTTTCATACAAAGCGGATAAGTCTCCGCTGCTGCTGGGACGCCCACTGATATATTGCCGAAGCCGCGTGAAAGTGGTCTTACTCTTCTTAATTTAAAAAATGATAGTAAGAACAACACAGAAAATTGCAAGCCTGTGGCCAAATTTAGTGCTTTACCTACGGTTTCTGGAAGCTGGGTGACAACCCGTTTATCAAATTCAATTAACACTATTATATCCTTATGTCAAACATGGTTTTATCTAAAGTAGATACCTCGTAACAAATTTTTTAGAACTATCATATTACATTTTCAACGCGTTTTCCAATGGTCAGCAAACTGACGTCATTTACATTGATTTCAGTGTGGCTTTTGATGGGATATACTTTATTATTATATGGTTTTTCGCTTATCTTGGTTAAATGGTTTTGCTGTTATATGGCAGCCAAGTGCAGCGCATTACTTGCAATGATACTTCATCTAAAGAATTAAAAAGGTAGCAATTTGAGCCTTCCGCTCGTGATTCTATTCTTGGTTACATAAATCAATGCTCGTGTATTTTAATGTGTGCTGAGGGTGTTAAACTGTCCTTTTCAGTTAATAAAAGACCAGATCGTCTACATCAAGTTTTAGACGTCTTAGTAGACAAGGCATTGCCATCATTAAAATGGCGACAACAAACTAGTATTTGTGCTTGCTGATCATCGTCTCTGCAATATCAATTTTGCGCTAAAGCGGGCTTACGAGAACCACAAAATTATATGAAGCAAATTGAAGATAAATTGTTAATATATTATTTAAAATAGAATAATTCCTATCCCTCCGTGCAGTTTAATGAGATTGACGAACAAATAAATTAATGGGAAAAAATGAACTTTTTTTTCAATAGGACTGACTATCTTTGTTTAATTTCCACAAAGTTGCAAAAAAGTACTGCACATTATCTTTTCTCATATTTTTTGTCCACTTTTTTATTTTCCTACGTTTCTCAAAAATGTTCTGTTTATGCCGTTGTGTTATATTTTGTTATTATAATAGAAAGTTTCCTGAAAACTGCCCAAATATTGCGCTCAGAATACGGCCGAACGGATATCTTTATGAAAGGTATTCATTTAAAGGCACTTCCAAGCAAAACTCTGTTAATAAAGCTTTAGATGAAACCGTTACGTACATGTTATATGAGGTTGAGCATAATTCGAAAATTTTCTACTATTCTACCACGAAATTAAAACTTTGGAAAATTGACGTTGGTTATCGAATTATACATTTTCTTGCCTTTTTCTCCAGGATTTTGCAAGGCGAAAAGTGAAAAATGTGCTATTCTATCTGCGGGGGATAAAGTAAGAGCGGTGCCAATTAAAAAAAATCTTCCAAAGAAGGTAATAAAGAGAAATGTTTAGACATTGTACTACGGTCCCAAATACCATCTTTCTTGGTCAAAAGTTTTAAAAAATTTGAGGTAATACTATTTTTTGAGCAAAATATAAATTTGTTAATACGTTTTGGATGTTTTAATCGAAAATTAAAAAAAAAAAATTTTTTGAGGTAGGTGATTGCACGTATTTTGGTCATTGTTTCACTTGAAAAAGGCCTTCATTGAGAAAAATTGGTACAGTGTATGTTAATCAAAAAATTTTCTCTCACTTTGTGCCGAGTCGAACGAAGTATATTGGCTTGGCAGCGGTCCAATCATCGATACATTTTCACACTTCTTCCGCACTTCAAAATCACGTGCTAGCCAAGCCATGCTGCTTCGATTTGAACAAGTGATAATCAGACGGCATTAAAACTTCCCATTCTTTCTGCAACAGAGTACCTTTCACAACTCTTGTAACGCTTGGCCGAATTTGCGTTTTCAGTCAATGCGTGTGGCAGCCATATAATTGCTAGGGTTTCGTCCTGTAAGTCTTATAATTCATAATTCTTTGTCATTGACTTAAAAATCGTCACCTTCTAACCGTTGAAACCAAAACCGACAATTGGGATAAGACGGCTGAGCATTACCTTAAGTTTCTAAAAGTGTTTGATAGACATTGGCAGCAGATTTCTTCAAATCACATAACAGAAGTAATGAATGTCGAAAATGCGATTTTGACCGTTTCATGATTAGCGTCTGTATTATCTGAACAACACAATGATATTGAAAGGAAAAATGATATTTTTTTTAAAGAAAGGTCAAAATAATCGAATTTGACCGTTATATACATTGATACTTCGCGTTACTTTATAATTTTCAGTAGATGTGGGTGATCACAATACACGCAAACACCTATTAAAATTTAAATTTTACTTGAACTTATACTCAATTCATTACCAATTATTGCTGAAAATTGCACACAAAAGCAGCTCTCAAAAAAAACTGTATTACCTACGTACGAGAGAGAGAGAGAGAGAGAGAGAGAGAGAGAGAGAGAGAGAGAGAG